CCCAAGTTCGGGACTCAACCCAGTTAATAGATGAAATTTTCTTTCAGAAATTCTTATAAAGCCACTTGTTTGAGCTCTTCTATGGTTGACTTGGTCGCATCCATCTCCTCTAGTACCTGAAAAGTCCTCGGTTCCTGATATAATTCTGATGACTTCTCATTTTTATCATCTTCAATTGGGATGGGAGAAGGCATTGGTTCCTGTAATTGCTATTTGCTGGTTTATTTGCCCTTGCTGATGGAAATGGTTACTACGTTCGTCTCCCTTACAGCTGGTTGATCTCCTCTGATCTGCTTGATCCCTTCTAGTGTTGGAAACTTTAACAGTTAATGGTAGGTTGAAGGTACGACCTTCATTTCATGTATCCACGGTCTTCCAAGGATTACATTATAGACCATGTCGCCATTTACCACTTCGAACAGGGTAGTCTTTGCTACACTTTCAGCATGTGTAGGCAGAAAAATTTCTCCTCGGGGTTTCACACTTGTTATGTTGAAGCCAGCTAAAAAATTTGTTGCCGGAATGATGTTCCCGGTTAACTTTGCTTACTCCAGAACATTCCATTGTATGATGTTGGTTGAACTTCCTGGATCAACCAAAACACGCTTAATATTGAAATCTAAAATATTAAAAGAAATTGCCAAAGCATCATTTTGTGGTAGGAGAAGTCCATCGGCATCTTCCATCGTGAAGGTGATGTCATATTTTGGGACTTATCGGATCCTCTTGCCATGAGTCACTGATATCTTCGTCTTCTTTGCTGCCAAATATGTCACCCCTTTTACTTTGTCTCCTCCGAAGATCATGTTGATTGTCATTCGAGGTGACCCTGGTTTTAATGGTTCTGCAATATACATGTTTCTCTTATAGTTGTTTTTGGTGAGATCGCTTAACAATTTCCTGAGGTGAACACTCTTCAACAACATTGCCACCTCTTCATGAAGATGTCGGCAGTCCCCAGTCCTATTTTCATGATTCCCATAGAATTCACACCATAGATTAGGATCCCTTTGGCTAGTATCCGATCAGATCGATTTTGGGAACCTAAATTCTTTAATATTTCTCATGGCCGATAGTAGTTCCACTAGGGTGATATTGGAATTGTAATTGGACAACCGAGGATATGCTAAATCTCGGGATTGTGGCACCTCTTTCTCCTACAACGATCTGTTACTCCGGCCATGATCCATCCTTCTAAGGGAAATGAACCTATTCGATGACTATATTCCTTTATTATCATGCCCTTCGACCTTCTCATAAGGCTGAAAATGACTTCTAGAGGGCCTTTGATCTGTATCAAAATCATTTTTCAACTTATCTTGATTTCAATTACGATTCCGTCCTTTGGAAGACACCGAGGAACCAAGAACATCTGCCCATGTGGTTGCCTGAAATTCGAGCAAGCTTTCCTTCAATTTTCGTGAGGTATCGGAGATCAATTGGTTGAGACCCTTTGTAAATTCCTCCACTGCCCACTCATCTTGAACCGCATGTAACAACATCCTTTATTTCCGGAACCACATCACGAACTTTCTTAACAATTCAACTTTTCCTTGAGATATCCTGAATATATCCGCCTTCCTTGCTTAGGCCTTTCTTGCTCCATCATGAGCTTTGATAAATGAATCTGCAAGCATTTCAAATGGGTCAATAAAATGTTCTGATAAGAGGGAATACTAGGCTAAGTCACCATTCATAAGAGTTTCACCAAACTTCTTCAACAAAACTAATTCGATGTCATGTTGGGCCAAGTCATTTCCCTTTCATGCCGTTGTGTAGGTCATGATGTGCTCTTGTGGATCCGAAGCACATCATATTTTGTTATATCTAACATCTTACACCTCTTTGGGATCAACTTCGGTGCCGCACTAGGTTTAAACAGCAATTGCATATACTTCTTTGAATTTGATCCTTTTAACATCGGTGGAACCCCTTAGATATGATCCATCCGAGTGAAATTCCTTTGCATTCTGATCCATTCATTCATTTCTCTCATTAATCTCATGTTCTCGATTGTAAAAGGGCCATTTAAATTGTTGTTCGCAGATTCACAACCGGTACCTCCGGCCTCGTCGAAATTGACCTCCCCTCTTGGTGTGTCGTTATCAGTTCTTTAATCTGTTTGCTTTACGGGAACACGGGAGGAACCGGGGCCCTTCCATTAGCATTATTGGAAGCTCCCGATAATGCCTATTTGATTTTTGTCATCACCCGATCTTGCCTTGAGAGGTGATCCATATTTGCCTTTTTCTGTTCCCTCAAGATTTTGACTATTTCAACAACGTGCTCATCCTCTACATCATCAAGAGTTGGGCGCCGCACATGTCGAGGATACAGACCTTCGCGAACTGGGTTGTTTCATCCCCTTTGTTTCGGGTCTCACTGATTGAATCATCACGCTGGAACACATCTTCCTGTTCACCGTGTGCTTCAACATTGTAAACATTATTGACATCATTAGCTTCCAAACCTTATCTTTCTTTTTGCTAAGGAAGGAATAAAAATTTGTTAGTAACAGATAAATGGATCAAAGCAATTACACAATTGTATATGCCCCACAGTGGGCGCCAAACTGTTTACCCATAGAATGGTATAGTTAGATTGTAACGTGGTTTATAGACAAATGAATCCATTTGGTCCCAAAGTACGAAAAAAATAATAACCAAAACAGAATACGAAATAAAAATAAGGGAAACACAATCCCGAGTAGGAATTTAGCCTTTCCGATGGCAAAAGTGAGAGCAATATTCAAGAACAAAGACTGAGAACGATATTATAAAATGAGAGCAAAATATGGCTTTTTTTTGTAAAAAATGTTTTTGCCCCTACAATGGATGCTAATCCTCCTACTTATAGCTCTATTCAAGGAGACAAGATCCCCAAATCAAGCTCCTCTTGAATGAGAATAAAGCCGTCGTTGATTGCTGCACAAGGGTTGGCTATAAATGCAGATATTATTTGCAACAGTTGCTCATTGAATGTTATCCGATGAAAATTCTTTGAATCTTTGTTATTAATTGGCTACTCTGTCTTCGGGATTCATTCAGCATCGATTGCATGATTACATCAGGTGCCAGCTGTTTGCTGACTCACGTCCCACCTACTTTTGTTTCACGCGCCACTTTGTCATTCGTCCAAATGTCATTAACCAATTTTACCCCATACAGGTGTAGCTTTGACAATCGACACACACAAAAGTTGAGGCTGACTCCAGTATTTTGAGGCCAAAGGCACAGACATATATAGGCAGGGGCAGCCCTTCCATAAAGTAAGTAAAGCAACTGCGTTAGGCCCCATATTTGTGGGGGCCCCATTTTTTATTACACCTAATAGGTTATGTATAAGTTTAAAACAAAGTTCTGTGAAGTGAAAAAGTTTGATTTATTTCTTTAACAGATATACAGAAGAAGGATTTGCAACTGCTAAAATTTTTGCCAAGAAAATTTGCACTTGAAATGAATACCGAACCCAAATTTCGTAAGAAACGTGTGATATATATAAAGTAACAATTTGATAAGAATGTATATAATGAAATCTCAAAATCTTTCGAAGAGCTCTTTAGAGGACAGGTTATTCACATTTATTTGATAGAGCGAATTAAAAGCCAAGCTGTGGAAATTCAAAAGATTTCCCGGGAAAAAATAGAGATGTCCCCTACGTTACCCATCGATTACTTTTATATATAGCATTCAAAATCTATTTTTTCACTTCAAAATAGATTTGAGCAATTTGAATCATATGAATTTTTTTTTTGGTTTTCTATTTAGCGGTAAGTACTAAGATCACTAGATGATGAAAATTTAAAAAATATTGTCTTAATCTTGAATGTTCCTTAAAGCATAATAATCAATTCGATATTGATGATTTAGATTTATTTTCTGAATTAAAAATATTAAGGAAAATAATAGAATTAGAAGATAACAGTTTAATTAATACACTCAAACAAATAAAACGATCTGATTCTTTCCCAAATGCCTATATTGTTTATGGAATAATGTTAATAACTCATGTTACAGGTGCTTCAGTGGAAAGAATTTTTCAAAATTAAAATGTTAAATTCTTACCAAAGATCAACATGTCTCAAGAAAGGTTAAGTGGATTAGTTATATTGTCAATTGAGAAATGCGTATTAGGAGTTATTGATTATAAGAAAATTAAATAACTTTGTATCTAAGAAAAGTCAAAAAATAGACTTCAAATAAATAAATAAATAAATAAATAAATAATTTTAAAGAAAATTAAGGCCCCTCATAAAGTTTGGCTTTAGGCTACAAAATTTGTCAGGTCGCCCCTGTATATAGGACTAGGACTAAATCCTGTATTTCCGAAAAAAACTTATATACATACGATACTTAATTCAAAACATAGGAAAATGGTATTTTGTTGAGTCTTTTCCCCCTTCTTTTCCCTTTTTGAATGATTGTAGAAGTTTAATTGTATTATAAAGACTAAACATCAATCCTCCCACGATATTTGAGTTTTAAAGTTACGTGGTAGTATACATAAGTTCGTTACTCATTCTTCATTTGTCATTATCTTTTTTTGTTATTTCTATCGTAACTTACTTTTCTTTGTTGCATTATAGTGTTTGATCTAATTCTTAATGTTAGCTAGAAAAAATGGACAGCAATGATATATATATA